TCTTCTCTCTCTCTCTCTCTCTCTCTCTCTCTCTCTCTCTCTCTCTTCTTTTTTTTTTAATTTCAATTCAAGAATAGGCTCCTAAAAACCGAACAATCTACCAAATACATTGTCAGAGAACATTTTGTCAAACTTCATAGTACTTCGTAGACGAAGATAGATTTCATCCTATTTTTTCTTCTTTTCTTTTTTTCAAATCTCACGAACTCGACGATCAAATCCACGCTACCAAGAAGTGGGCAATCACTGGCCAAACACATCCATTCGAAAACGAATTGTTTTCTCCTTCTTTCCTCCCCCTCCCCCCTTCAGTTAAAAATCCGTTTCCACTCACTTGTGCCCCAATTCGTGGGTGATGGTGTGCGCGAGCGTGATCCCATTGTCCTCGTTGACGCTGCAGCTACGGTCCGGTTGGCACATGCCGGCTACGTGGGCCACTCCCAGAGTGCTGCACGGCGTGTTCGCCCTCGAGCATATGTCCTCCCTCGTCACCAGAATCGCTACATCGTGGTGATTCGGATGGGAGTCGTCGGCCGGGTTCAATTTCTGTTGCCACTTGCAGAAATTGTACAGCGTCCTGTCCGCGTTCACCGTGATGTCGAGCCCTTGCTGCAAACAGACGTTTGCCCCCCCCACCTCGTGTCATAGATATATATACTATATATAGTATATATGTATATATATATATATGCGCGCTCTCGTCCAACGTGCTTTGTCCACTACGGTACGAGTGTACGAGACGCGCCGCCAGATCTCGATGCTCGACACAGCGGCCGGTTTCGCGCTTTTTTCCTGCCAAGCGATTCGAGTGATCGATTGGAATTTAGTTCCGAAACGGAATTCATTGAAAATTTCGAACGATAATTTTGCAACCGTAAAAATCAATTTGTCTTTTGATATAATTAAAAAAGGCAAATTATAATCAACGTTAAAGATGTTGGTCTTTCTCATCGAAAGATCATTATCTAAAATAAAGAAAGGAGAGGTAAGAGGGAGAAGAATCTTTTTTATGATCGAACAACATCTTTATCCTTGATTTTAATGAAAATTTGTGTGTACGTAAAGCATAATGGGCTATGAAATATTTCTTTTGGGAATATTTTTTACGACGGAATAATTGTAAAATTTCCCTCTATCTCCATTACGAAATAGATAATAAATACTCGTTCAAAGCAACGACGGGGAAAAATTTAATAGTCGAAGTTACGAATAAAGTTAATTCGATAAGTTACTTCAATAATATATCGTTCAAAACAATAATTGTAATGCCAAAGTTTATATAAAAAGCGGATCAACTATAATAACTACAAATGTTATTCAAGCATTTTAATATAAATAATTATTTGAAGTAACTTTATTCGAGATTTTTAACTACTTACTTTTTCAATGGTTTTTCAATACCTAACTTAATGATTCAAGATAACGATATTCCGCTAATAAAAAAATTGTTTCACGCAATTATAACCCATTACAATTTACGCTACTCGCGATATATCTGATATACAAAATTGCTTTCGACAAATATTAATCGAATTCTAACATCGTATCTTATATTATTTAATTAATTGAACCGGATAACACGACGGCAGATAGGATCATGCCGGCGTGCAGCCGGGTTGTTGAACACAACGCACATCATCATTGGTGTGATTCGCACGTACTTCCGCGTCGTCCTCCTCGACGAGGATGATCCTGACCACGACGACGTTAATGAAATTCCCTATGGTGGGATCCAGGTAAAGGGACGAAACCATGTTCATGATGGTGAGTAGATACGTCTCGACATCCCCGTCCTGATGGAAAGCCATCATCGTCGTGTCGGCGACAACTAGGGCCTCGACGTGACGGGGCCTGCTGATCGATCTCTTGGAACGTTGCCACCGCTTCGCCTGATGCTGCTTCCTTCGCCCGCGTCCTTGAACCTGCACCAGCCCAGGCTGCGTTTGCCACTCGAGCCGCGTTTCCGTGAGACGTCTCGGTTCTGCGCAAATACACACACACACATACACCGTGTTCGATTAGAAATTCCGCTTTTTGGGAAGGAGGAGGGGAAGCTCGGTTGCGATTTGATCCCAACGCGATGGATTATCGATGAACGTCGATCGAATGATTGATGTTCGCATGCACGAGACTTTCGATTCCCCGTGGAAGGATTTACGAACCGAATACGACGCGTGGTTTGGCGAAATCAAGCAATTCGCGAACAGGATAGGATCAAACATGTCTCTAGGTTATATTCGACTCGGTCGATAAAAGGGAATGCTTACTTCGGGTTCTACGATAGATAGAAATTAATACGTAAACGAATATCACTGTAAACGTTTGCTTCGATATATTGAAAATATTTTAATTTTGTTCTTAGAAATAAAAGGAATAAATAAGAAAAATTAAGACACGCCATTACTAATATTATGACAAACTTTATCGGCCAATAGAGGTTACCGATCGAACGACTAGTCTTTTCAGGAAGGAAGGAAGGAAGGAAAAATTTGTGGTCGAGGACGTGGCGGCGCAAGCTCATCGATCTTTCTCGGTGATTCACCGTGCGAAATTACTATCCACGTGTCTCGGCCCTATCTCGAAAAAGACGTACACGCGGCAGCCACGTAAGACCTGGTCCCTTAATTTATGCAGATTGCTCGATCGCAGAGGCGTGCAATTAAGATTTCGTTCGGTTCCTCCTCCGTATAGATCGGCCGTGCCTTGCCAAAATGGATATTCATTGTGCTTAATTACGGGTTTGCGGCGAATTGGATTATCCTCCGCGTCGACCGCGTATCACTCGGTTATCTACTCGGCCCCTCCGATCTCCTCGTTGAAACGGCTTAACCATCGGTTACTTAATAAGCAATGCGTAACACGGTCATAAGTTGTCCGCAATTTTTACAAATTCAATCGCGAACTCTTCGAGTTCAATTAACGATCGATTAAGTTATTGGAAATTCAACTTGTTGATCGTGAACCGTGATATATATGTCTGCAGTTAGTTTGAATTCGAGCAATCAAAGTTTGAACGTGTTGTCCAAACATTGAGATGGTGAGATTGCGATTCCAATTTCGTGCATCCTTAGATATATATATTCATTATTTAACTTGTATTTCAATTTTCAATTAACAAGCTTCCATATACTGTTCACTGGTGGAAAGAAGAAACGTCTATACTATCGGAATATTGGTCACGTATACTGATTTCAAACGATCTGTATCTAAAGCTCGATGCATTGGCTTAGACCAAATGAGAATTCTAAAAATTTCTTTTATTTATCGTAAGGCTAATTTTTAACGATAGTTTTAATTTATAAATTTAATTTTCTATCGAAATAATTAATAGTTTCGAAAATATTTTCTAACGTAGCTTTCTTAAATAAAAATAATTTTCACGATTTTAAATGTTCAAGTTATAGCTCTTATGTAGCGTGTGGTGTCAGGTTCGTCAACAAAGCGTGTGAAGTGGGGATAACGGTCCTAGCGAAGGACCACCTCTCTTGCCCCTGTGCTATCCTGCGAGACTTCTTTTCAGCAGTAAATATAATAAACGATAATTAAACGTTTTTTTTACATTGACACGAGAGCTACGCGAAAGAGAGCAAGGTTATTCGAAATTGGAAAAGTATTTTATATAGCCGAACGCGTATATCGTTCATACGATGAGGTCTGAAAATATACGAGATCGAAATTGCCGTTCGAATGGTTTTATAAGCGATGTCATTTGTCGCGAATTGCAATTTCCGCGTGAAGGAATATTCGAGTTGGAATCAGAATTACAATTTCGAATCGAATGAAAAAAATACTCGAAATGCCTATGCGAAAGACATAGTTGAAATCGGAATTGTGAATCTGAATTTCCAAATCATCGCGTCATTTCCTCGAAAGATGAAACATAGTTAAAAGTTGAAAATTGAAAATTCTGATTCTGAATCTTTCGCCCCCTTAACGTTTCCACACAAGCCATGCAATGGCACCCACGAATTTTCGTATAAAAAAATAATCAAAAAAATAATTGTCAAAACAATTCAATGATTTCTGAATCATTAAAGAAAGAAAGAGAGCTAAAAGGACAAGCGCGAAACTTTGCAGGAACGCCCACGTCCGATATCGAGACGAGTTCAATTATACTTGTAGACGGTATAAATACTCGTAATAGAGGGTTCTGGTGAACGAGTCATGAGAGAAAAAACAGGAATGGAAAACGAGAAGATGGAGAGAAGAAAAAGAAGATGTCGACTTTCTTCTCGTTCCTTCATCATCTGTCTTATCCCCTTCCTCCTTCCTATTTTCTATCGTTATTAATTATAATCCATCCTGTCTCTTGACAATTAGTGAAAAGGATTTTAACATCGTTATAACCGATTTGCAATCGATTCTCCGACATGACAGAGACACGTATATCGTGTCTTGGCTAATTTGCCCTGTATTAGAGAATTTCCTGTGGAGCGAAAATGCCATAGGGCGAAATCGATCGAACTTGAATAAATTGGAAATTTTGCTGTAAATCTATAAAGTAGGTAGATAATTTAATATAATCCAGCCCTAGAAAAGATTTCGAATATGTCTGAAGAAAAATAATTTGACGTTTGTTTTATGAAACTTTCAATAAACTTTCATCTCGTTAATTACTAAAGCTTGTCAATAAACGTCGAGAATGTCAGGAAGTTCGCCTATGCGCCGATCAATTTAAAAAAATTTAAAATTCACGAGAGAAGGTTGGTATGCAGATTCTAAGATATGTCACGTGTGAACGGGAGGACACGAGATTCAAAAATAGCGGTATCTAATTAGAAACTGGTGCGAGAGTATTTAGCCGGACGTTAAAACGGCCTCTAATTACCCGAGCCCGCGTAATTAACAGGAGGGGGAAAAATTGGTTGGCGCGTTAACATTTGTCGTTATCCCGGGGGCAATTTCATCGATAAGGAGATAAGGTTCGGCGTCGACACGCCCACGCTGTGCAGCTCGTGTATCCAATTATCCCGTGGCCTCAAACGCGTAAATGTTCGTAGCGGAGAAGAAACGAGAAAAGAGAACGAGTTGGGAAGGATAAACGGGGAGAATCGACCTAAGTGTCTAAATTATCGCTTGCCTCTGAACCTCTAGTCTCTCGTACCCGCGTTATTTTGATATAACCTTTACTCCTCCAATATAATTATTATTCTATCCACTCTGTAATTTATTGTAGCGAAAAAGATTGTGTGCTATGCGTTCCCCTTATTTCGTCTTTCGCGCGATAAATTTTTAAAACAAATTAATAATTTTTAGATACGTGTAAACTCGATACTTTTATAACGATATATTAAATACCGTCAAAATTGAATGAGACACGGTATTGAGAATGAGAATTCTTCTTTGATTGAATACCACGAATGCAAAATTGAAATCGACGATCATGACATACAAATTTCCCTTTAATTTCACTTTCCTTCGAGTATCATCGAGCCAAGCGATCCATCACGCTCGATCTTACTCGCAAAATTAATTTCACACATCAGCCAACCCAACAAGCTTCATCCTCTAAATGAAGCAACAACAACAAAAAAAAAAAATAAAATAAAATACAAGAAAACGACAAAGTAACTTAAACTACTCGCAACCGAGACGTTTGTTTCGAGTAGAACGAGGAAAAAAAGAGTCGAACAGACGTACATAACCGCTAATAGTCGCCTCTCCATCCATTCCCCCTCCCGAGATAAAAGGAAACCAAGAAACGAACGGGGAGCCGGGCGCAGAAACCGAGGGACGGAGGGAAGAATCGAGGGGGGAAAGACGAAAAGAAAGGGAGAGGCTAAGAGTAAAAAGAAAGAGGGAGCGAAGAGGAGGGGAGGAGAGCAAAAGGGGAGAACGGTGTCGGTGGATTCTCACCGCGAGTGCCACAGTTTCTCTCGAGTTTTTTCTTCTTTTTCCGCCGCCGTCTGGCGCGGCCTGCAGCGCCGATTTCGAGCTGCGGCTGCTCCACGGACCTACGGAACACGAGATGGGGCCTGCCCGGCACCGAGTTCCGGTAGAGGCCCGCGGCACCACGGCCCTCGGCGCCGGCGTCTTCCAGCCTTTCTTCCTCCAACCGGACTCGTTCTTCTTCCGGGGACAGGGCGACTGGTTCCAACCAGAACTCGCCGTGATCGCCGCGCAGCATGCCCGCCTGAAACACGAAACCCACTATCGTGTTACATCGAGTCTTTGTTCCGAGTCTTTGCCGGGAGACCGAGTATTCACAGCGCCGCGATAGAATTTGTTTGAGAGGCGAGGACCCGAACTTTCTTTTTTCGAGGAACTCTTTCCCAAATGATTGAGAGAATCATTTCTGTTGATTTCTGTTTTTTTTTTTTTCATTGTTAATTGTAAGATTTAAAGAGAAATGCTTGTGTATATAAAAATGATATTAAAAAAAAGAAAAGAGAGGAGGAGAATTTTTAACGGTTGAAAAGCTAAAACGGGTAAAAATTCGTTATTCGAAAATTTAATTTCTTTTTATATTTTTTCAGAGCGAAAGAAGTAAAAGTGTAAACTGGGAGGTGGTTTTGCATTTATGAAAAATTTAAATGTATAATAACGCGGATGATATGCGGAGAGATAATAAAAATCTAAATTAAAATGATATTTAAAGGAAGCAGATCTTTATTCAAATTCTATTCTTTTTTTTTCAGTTTTTGTTAATGAAAATTTCAATTTGCATAAATTTAAAAAATTGTTTAATATGCATAATCATCTTCGTTACGAATACGAAAAAAATTTCATGAAAATTAATAAGCAATGCTCGTCGTGAGGGATATGGAGCGAATGTGTCAAGTTTGCAATGTTAAAATCCAATTAACAATAAGTTGTATAATTTTGTAATGGAATTCTCGCGTTTGCATTCGAAGATACAAGTTATTCTATGAATACTTATAAACATTCTATTCTATCTGCTTAAAATTTTATATTCGTCAATAAATTTTAACAATATTGAATATTTAGTTTATAAAAAAGCACAAAGCTTTGAAAATTAAAAAATCATGTTACGTTTTAACTTTTGTCACGATATCGGCAAATAAATTTTCTTTGTATATAAAATTTACGTAAAAAGTAGTTAACGGAAATTACAACTATAAAGACTTTTCACATTAAAGTGAAAATTACTTGAATAATAATCTGTGCTTCTATCTCAATTGAACAACTTGTAACTACACTGGGGATGTAGATTATTATGGATGAAATTAAGTATCCATTTTATAACGAAAGTTTAAATAATATATCTCGTAACAAAAAATTTTATATATTTCTTTACAACTGTTTCAAACTTTAAATTTTGGAAGAAAATTTCGAGAAAGTTATTTACTTTTTATTTAATTTGTCATTTTTACTTAACGACTCTCAATTATTTTATTTATTTTACATAATTACATCATCAAAAAATAATCCCTCCATTAATCATTTATTAACTTATTTTAAAACTTGTTAAATTTTAAATTTCCCTTTCTATAACATCGCATAATTTAATTTATTATATACAAAAAAAATTAAGAAACACTGATTAAATTTTACTTGGAATATTTATTATTTTACAAGGAATAATTTAAATATCACAATAAAAAGGTTGCAACTCAAAAAGTATTAAGAAACACGCGCCCAGTCCCGCGCAAATTTCGAAAGGAAATTCTATTTGTTGCAATCCTGTTTGGGATCGAAGAGCGTTTCGAAAGAATCAGTGGTGGGTCCGCTAACGTAACACCTTCGAAACAAGCAACGGTACAATGTAAATCGATTTCGATGGTAGATTACAGCGTTTATAGTTGTGCCGTGTCATTAGTCATTCCCCGATCATCGATAGCATTGGCCATCCGCTGTCAAGTGGCAATTGATTGGCGGAACCACCCATCGTCCGATTTCGATGTAATTCACATTTTACGCCCGCCCCATTCTCCTCGATTCTCTTCCGCTATCGCCCTCTTTTATCTGGTTCCCTTTTATCGCGGCCATTACAACGAAACGTAACTTCGACAACCTCGAACCGAATTTCGGCCCAGGTAGTCGTTAGCCTTTCCTCTCTCCTTTATCCTTTCACGCCTCGTTTTTCACGCGTCCTTTCCCTTCTTTTATTAAAAAAATCCCTCGCCCGTTTATCGCCTGCCCCAATTCGCCAGACAGCCGGCGAAATTTAAGAAAAATTTTAGATTTAAGATTTAAACAAATTTAAACTTTTTAACGCATTTTTTACGCGTGTAAAAAAATGATAGAACTTCGGTTACGATAAAAAAAAAGCAACATGCGTGGAATGCGAACACACTCGTGGGGAGAGATATATGCATTTTCGTGATTACGAAAATTTCGATCTTCCAGATTCTTATTTTTATTCACGAGATTCGAATTAAAACGAAATAATTTATACTGTTCCGCCTCGAAATTTTTACACGCCTAATATCTTTTCCCCTCCGCTTTGGTTTCTAAGATGAACACCCCCGTAGACCCGCCAACTTCTCCCCTAACTCCCCACGAGATTCTCGATTTTCTCGACAGTTGCTAAATTCGATCCGAAAGCAGTTCCAACTTCCAACGGCGATACAACTTATCCCGGGAGAGTTGCCAATACCGAGAATCTCGAGGAACGAAACCGAGATTCCAACAGGAGCTGCCAGTGTAAACCCGTGGATAGCGTAAAAATAGTCTGGAAATAATCGATTCGAGGAGAAGGTGGGGGAGGAGGGGGGAGGAGGAGGGAGGAGCCAGCGAGTCGCGAGAAGAAATAGGGAAGCCGATCCGGGCCTTAAATACGGATGGAACGAGCCGTTGGTCGTGTTTCGACTATTCCCGGACGGCGACCGTGAAAAATCACGGCGCCAGCCTCACAAAGGTAAGCCTTCGAACAGGGCGCCGTTGAAGGACCTGAAAGTGAAAAAGGTTCGAGCGTGATTCAGCGCCGCATGGGGCCTTACGGCCCGATCCATCCCCTCTCTTCGCCCCTTACATCCTTCCAACTCCTTCTCCGCGCACCCCTCCCCATCGTTCCCTTCTTCATCGTCATCTTTTTCTCCACCTTTACGCGGCCGCCTTTTCTACCTTTTTTTTTTGCAACGTTTCTTTTCATCTTAGGCGCGCAGAAACGCCGATCGGCTATATAAGGAGTGATTTGTTGCCATGGTGGTTTCAACCACGCCACGAACATTGTCGTCGGCTCCGGTTAACGATCCGCCCCGATTTTTCTCCCTTTCTTTTCGATCGGCACTCTTTATTCCCGATATGAGATCCAGCTTCGTTACCGATACCGCCTTTTCGACTGGAGAAACCGATTCCGAACACTCGACGGATCACGAAAAGAAAAAACTATTCGAGACGGATGAGACGCGATTCTTGAGGCGTGTAAACACGTTTATTCGTTGAATTTTGTTGAAATTTTTACCACTCGTATCTCGTTGTAATAAAAAATTTCTATACGTAAAGTAGGATTTTATATCGATGCTTTAATATTCTAGCTTCAAAAGGAATAACAGAAAAGTTCTATAAATTATCAACTAATTTTTGAAATCGAGAATTATGACCATTAGTATTTTACCGATATCTTATTGACAGTTTCGTTAAGATATGATTAACAGACAGAAATGATTGATTTCTATTTTTATCATTGTATATTATTATAAGACATCTTAACGATATTACCGAATTATTGATATTTATCGATAACAATATCAATAGTTCCAATTCTAATTCGAAATACAAAGTCAGACGATAAAGTGACAAATGAGGTTAGTTTTATGACAGATGAGGTTACTTGAAAGAAAATTTAATTTTCTAACCCATTTCTTTAACTGTCTACAAAATCTTGGAACGTTCTTCGAAGTTGAATAGAGAAAGTTTCAGTGTTATTTTCAGCACGTTTAGTAGCTTGATACGATGTTTGAGTTTTCAAACGATGAGATTTACCGCGAAATCCCTTGAAGCGTTTTCGTTGGATGTTGGACGATGTTAAATTTATTTGTAAACTCGATACTTTTCGATTTGACATCCACGGAACGCTGTACCCGCTTGGATCAACATAAATTGTGAACCGTATAAATTCACTATCCTCTCGGCAATTTACGAGTGGAACCGGTTAACAAGCAAAGCGTTATATTTACTGAAACTTTATCCCCTTAAGATTCAACGCGTCTCTTCCGACTACCTCGTCGTACTAATCCGGATTTATCTCGAACTGAAACATGGTTGCGGTACTCTTATCGAGAGAATCGATTGCTCCGTTTCGACCTCCGATGTCTTCGCCTCTCGCGCCAAGTTAATCGAGTCTTATTGTTACGCTCTCCGTGTCTTAAATTGAATCCTCTATCGGAATCTTACAGGCTATAAATGTCTACATAGTTTACAAGGCTTTAGAATCAGAATCTTTACAATCGAAGAAAATGGAATGGACTATCGATAATTGCGACGATGATGAATTACTATATCGATAATTGTTTGGAATAAGAATCACTTCGTTGATTTTGGTATTTTTAAAATATCTTATCAAGATTATCATTATAAATAATTTCTTTCTGTAAATATAACTGATATTTTTTATATTTCAGCGATGTTTAAAACGACGGATATTGGATTAAATTTAGGTTAGATTCGTATTACATCACGTCTAAAATTAAACAAATTTGAATTCAATTACATACATCATTTATTAAATCGAAACTTAAAATTAACCCAATATTGATTTAGGTTTATCGCAAGGTATATCTTACTTATCCCTGAAGGATGCTCAATTTATCTAACCTCATCATCTTCGAAATAATTTTATCTACTGTACACATACATCGTTAAGCAATCCTTGATCAGAACGTCAGATTCGCAAGTTCGCTTTTAATAATACCGATAGAACGAAGAGATAGTTTCAACGAGTTAACCACGCACACACGCGGCGATGGTAAAGACAACGATCTAAAATAACCGTAGATTACTCGAGCCTTCCCCGATAACAAACGACCAGAATCCCGAGGACGCGACAGGGGGAGCCAGTTGGCAGACCGAGCGCAAATTAAGTAATTTCATCGTTAGGCTAAGGTGTTACTCGAACCGGTGAATGGAAATGGATGAGGACATTATCGATCGAGCGATCTTGCGGCCGTTCGTTATTTCGTGTCCGGCTTATGGCCGTTCGGGAACTGAATGCATCCAATCACAAGTAAATATATTTCTATGACGATCTAGCGGTCCCATTTAGACGTCTTTGTTCGTTTAATTGGTCGTGGCGGCTTGGATGCCGAGCCGCTCCTCTCGCAACGATGAATGCGCGCACACGGCTTCCCGTCCTCCCGTCTTCCATTCCTAGGATCCGATTAATTCCTACCATCGGCCGATAATTTATGGCTGGCCATGCGTTACGCTCTCCACCTTCCTCCCTGCTCGTTTCACGGCAAAACCTCTTCGTATCTGTCACACCTTTCTCTAATTGCCGTGAACACGCGAGAATCTAAGCCGCAGCGAGCGGCGGCTTCTGTACCTTCTCTTCACGTGGCTCCCCCTGTTTCGAGATTCTCGAGGAAAACTAGCTCGCCGACTTCTCCGTTCTCGCCGTAAACGATCGGAATTCACGCCAGAAAAATATTTTTTGCCGAATGAAAAAACGACGACGACGAAATTGGATGACAAAGTGATCGATCGAAGCTGGTCGCGCGATTAGTTTCACGATGATGACATTTACCAGTAGTTTGATTTATTTGGTAAAATTATAGGTTATTGGCCATCTATGTGAAAGCATTATCGATCTTGTAATTTAACACTATTCGATTTAAAATTTAACTAACTTCAACGTTTATTTTTATATTTACGTTATTTTCAGGAAATGAAACAAAAATCTTTAAAAATTTTATCTGTTTCTAAGCGCAGGTATATTTATTGCATTTTTCCAGGAATTGCACTGGATCGTTGATCATTTTGCAGAGTTACAAAAAAAAATGTGAGTATGGACGTTATTTTTTTAGAATTTAGATCTAGAATTTAATTCGATATTTTTATATTAAATTATAGATTTAAACACTTGCAACATTTTATTTGGTGAGTGGGAAAGGAATAATGTATTATTTATAAACAATAATTTTTTATCTCTACAAACAATATTTCATACGTAAAATCAAAATTTATAACAACGTATTAAGAAGTCTCAACTTTGATACATTTATTGTTTCTTATCCGAACCAGGAAATTCAATTTTGCCAGTTCTATTAATATTACGGATCGAAGTATGGCTCCTTCGAAATATATTACACGATGTCCCAGGAGAGAAAGGATGCTTTTGTTTCGAGAGCTCCGTGAGTCGATATCAAGGGACAACCTCAATCATTGTTATACTCGTATATGCCATCGGTAACAAGTTTCATCTGCTAAAACTTGTGCGGAAAATATATAGAAAGAATCGATCGATTGTCGATATTTCGAAATAAGCTGCTGTAATATCCTTATTTCGAAACCCAAGATAAACGCGAAAATATAATGAAAAGTGACTACACGCCATAGAGAATGAAATTATTTCATTTATAAAAATGAAATGTTGAGGATCTTGCGACAAGGTGAGGAGAAATTCAAATAAAAAAATTATTTTGACTTGAAATAAAATACTAATTGAAACAAATATTTTAAATTTGAAGCTTCCTTCGATTCTGTACGTGACTTTTTTATCAATCGAAGATATCTAGGCAAGTTTTAATCCAATATTCCTCCTATATTTTTATATATACTTTTTCAAATAATTCTTATTTTTCAGATATATGTATACTCGTGTAAAAATACCTATAAATTTATCATGATTCAAACCTCACTTAAATTGTAACAACACTATTATCATAAAATTTACCAATAATTTCACGCAAGAGTAAAAGTGAGTATTCCAATTGTTTCCTGCGCAAAAGTAAGAATTACCTTAAAAAAAAAAAAAAAATAAGACAAATATTTAAACATATTCTTTCTACAGTTTCACTCGTCTACCGTTCAATCGGCACAGAAAGAAGACGGCAAAGAATACGAAGGCAGGCAGGCCGAAGGAGCAAAGGTGGGATTAGCATAACGCGCGATCGGACGTGGTTCAGCTCGACTGTGGTTAGTTAATGGTCGCCGAGTAATCATTATTCTCGACTGGCAATACGCCGTGTGTAAGTCTCTACCTTGTGCGTGCAACCTAGCGGCATGATCCGCGTATATAAATTATTATTGTCCGGCCAACGAGGTGTATCGATGGGCGGTCGCACCGCTGTCGCTTGTCGACGCCCATGCTCGCAGTTCGCGAGATCGCAGGCCGCGCTTAAACGCCTTTTCCGCCTTTTGCGCGTTTCCGCCGCATCGTTTAAGTAAATTCGAAACACTAATTTGGGCTGAAAAGTTGGTAATATTTATTCGTAGCGAGAGTTGATTTCGTTTAAATGAAAAGTAAAAGAAGATATATCTCTGTGAAGAGACGAAAAGAAATATTTATTTTTTTTGATTTTAAAAATATATTTTTCCATATAATTCATTATCTATCATGTATATATCTTCGCTGCTCTAGTTTTTGTAATTCGTGTTTGTGAAAAATCAATGTCTCTAGAATCTTTTCTCTCGAATCTCAATTGTACAGTCATACAGATCCAGATCTAGAGATTTTTCTGTTTTTGAAATTAAATGAAAAGTAAACATTTTAGCTAATGAAGAGGTGAAGAAAATGGTTTCAAGATTTTTCTATGAATAGATAATTACAGATGAAGATAATAAAAAAAAAGTAATTTTAGAAATAAAAAATAAAGATTTCTTTTTATTGCTGTTTCATAAAGATATATCATATTTTCTTTTTATTTAAACGGCCATTCATTTATTTATTCGATGCTTAAATGATAAATTATTCAAGTAATTTATTGAAATAATTTTATTCTTCTTAACTTCAACAAAGTTGAATTTGCCTCGAGAATGGTCGTTTTGATTATGTCTCTCTATTGAATACAATGAGGATTGATTGTCGATGCTCTTTTCTCGTGCGCTGTTTGCTTCTCCATTTAATTTAGTGAAATTAAATAATCAAACGTGTCGTATGCCTACACGTAAATCATAGAATTCTTGACAATATGTTTTAGGATTGTAACGTGATATAAATTGCGTTTGAATATTAACAATAACAATTGTATGCAATGTTATTAGTCTACTGCACAAATATTGAAATTAATCTGCTTTAACAATTACATGTAATACTATTGAAAAATATGAATATAATAATTGTCATCAAGATGGAAAAGTAGATAGTCCAATGTTAACAATTATATATAATACTATTGAAAAATATGAATATAATAATTGTTATCAAGATGAAGAAAAATATGTAATACACAAATACTAAAATTAATCTGTTTTAATACTAAAAATCGTATGTAATACTATTGTTGAGAAAAATACGAATATAATAATTGTTATTAAGATGGAAAAGTAGGATAATCCAATGTTAACAACATTTGTATATAATACTATTGAAAAATACGAATATAATAATTGTTATCAAGATGGAAAAATAGATAGTCCATTTTCCAAAATAATTACACGTATTAAAAGATATAATTAAGAAATAGTATTAATATTTAAAAATCAAAAACTAGAAACTTGTCTTATAGACAAATACTTCTTCTTTCTCGGCAGAGAATATTGATTAATTTATAACGAAAGTTCCGCTGGCTGCTTCGTTCGTTTAAAAAAAAAAAATCCCGGCGCAATACAATTTATAAATTACACCGTTCTCCATTATGCAAAGCGTTGCTAATAAGCAATAATAATTTGTATTCAGTATTCATGGCGTAATAAATTTTTACGGCATAAAATGCGTCGAGCACCCGCCCAGAGGCCGTATTCGCAGCAAAAGGGTGGATCGATTTGGTTCAAACCGATCGACAAATCAATACCAATTGCTACGTTACAATAGCGTGAAAATCGTGAATTTCTCTCTTTCTTTTTTTTTTTTTTCTAAAACGTATTTAACAAAACGTTTCGAACGTTATTTATCAGTTGCGCAATGATAATTTCAAAGAAATTTATTAAGTTACACCCACGGATTCGAGATGATTAATCGTACCGATAAATTTCACCGATATATTTATATCCCGTGAATAATCGACAATCGGTCTTTTACGTTTATTAGACTACGTGCCTCTATCTGATTGTAAAAGGTCTTCTACAGAAAGTTTGTACAATGGAGTAGGATTGTGTTAAAACCGGGATGAATCTAAATGGTTATTAAAATTTTACACATTCTAATTAACATACGAAGCGAAGATTTTATGTTTATATATCGGTACAGGAGCGAAAATATTAATTATTCTCAATCTTTGAATTAATATTACTTATTCCTCTCTACGATATTCCTTTCTGTCATTCAACGATTCAGCAGGCACGCCGCCGCTCGTCACGAACAGTCTCTAACGAATGTCAAAGCTAATTGAATTTGATTGGGCAAAGGCACAGCTTACAAAGTGTGTTACGCCACAGCAATAATGTTGGCAATTTGTCACCTTTGCAATTCCTCATCATCCCTCCTTTGTTTTGCACCCATTTTCATAATTGCTCGAGGTCAACCCGTCACTCATAGACAACAATCGCATTGTCCTCCATCGTGATTCTTCGCCTCTATTCCTTCCTCGTGGCTCGTTTGTCTCTGATTGAGGAAAAAAGCATCGTTCGAGATAAACTTATTAAACGATCGATTGGAAATCTCTTCCTTCTTTTTTCCTTTTTTTTGTCGTTAATTGAAGAAATTCGAAAGAGTAATTTTGCGACGAATATTTCATGATTATATTACATTATGGAAAAAATTTGCATAAATTTCGTATTCTCTGCGAAGGTATTTTTATTCTGGCTAAAATTGAAATTGAAAATTACAATTTTTTCGAAACACAAAAATATGTAGGATGGGGATCGTCATAGGTAGAATCAATTCTTCATTGCTCTTTAAAAATATTCATTATTCGTATTCCACGAAGATATAACTGTGAATCCATCGTATTACGTCTTTTTCCCGATTCAACTTTAAACGAAACTTTTATTTCTCTAAAATTCGAGACGTTAGTTGCGCGAATATAATTTCACTTGTTTTATTTCATATAATCTTTCCAACAAATAAAATATAATTTTCATCAAAAAATCGAAGCATTGGTCTTATTTACTTATGAAAATCATCGAGGAATCGCAAAAATAGCAAGGAAAAAAAAATCAAATTCTCCACGATCAGAATAATTACATTTATCATGAAAACATTTATGGCGCTCGTTCGAAGAGATTCGAAACGAAATTACAACGAAAGTATCGAAGGAACCGTCGAAAGCCTATCGAAGCTCGCTCTGGTGGCCGCTACAGTTCCGATTACATCTATGGACCAAACGTTAATTATTCGCCGTGTAGATCTAACCGGTAGCGAAAGGTTAGGAGGCGTGAATACAGTTGGTGTACACGCATGCACGCGCACGCAATTTGATTCAATGTTCACCGCTGTAGGGGAACAGGTTTCTCGAGCGGTCGTCGTACGTGCCGGCCCGGATCTCGATATACGTGGTTAACATATAATTATCGGTAATAGGTAATCAGAGAGGGGAACAGCCCCTCCCGTCCAATTAATGCGTATCTATTTCATCAGATCTGGACGGCCAATGGGTGGTCCTTATTACTTTTGGCAATTAGCGTTATAATCGATCGTTTAACCAAACCAGCGGAAAAACAACGTCGATGAGAGGTTAGACGTCGATCGCCGCGCCACCTCCCGAGAATTGTAATAAACGCGGATAATTGGCACGCTTTGCTATTGGCTAAAAACTATTATCTCGACTCGACTCATTCCTTTTCGTTTCCTTTGACGATCTTTGCAACGATAATCGATGGAAACTTTTTTCCAACACTTTCCATCAAAGATAAGAATTTCCAAAGTTTTATCGTACTTTCTCGATTCTCGAAAGTAACGTTCGAGAAAATTCGAATCGCGGGCAAATCGCGTTGGAAATATGTGTGTCTCGAAACGCGACACTACTCGGTTGATAGCCATCCATTTTTCTTGAAAGCTAACTATCCTCGATACGAGGGGGACACGCGTGTGTAGCGATCATTATGCACCACCCACACACACGCACACGGGTGGTTCGTGGCGACTATTCTAATGACGGCATAAATCACGTTCCTTCGCAGGAAGCATTTATCATCATCGAGATTCTTGTCCCTTCCTCCTCTTCCTCCTCCTTCCTCCCCGCCCGTTCGCCATCGATTTCTCGCCATCGCCCTCGCCTCGCCATCCCTTTTCCATCCCTTTGTGCCGGCTATTCTTCTCGATTCTCGAACAGATGCATCCACTTTGTAAAAGCCACCCCCCCAAGGAATACGAACTCTCGCATGCCTTTTATCAAGAAATCACTAAGTTCCGTTGCTACTAAAGGGAACATCGATTTTTCTTCCTTTTTCTCTCTCCACGGTTAAAAAGGCAGAGGGGGAACGAAGATTCGAGAAAATGGTTGTTTTAATTTTTCTTTTCTTTCTTTCTTTCTTTCTTTTTTTTTTTTTTGTTGAACGATTCTCGTCCGCGTGCTCATTGAAGATTAGTTTAATGGCTACGATGTCGATCACACTCTGTTAATCGTCGATGTTGTGTATTTTTAATGTCATCGTGATTGATCGATCGCGTAATTAATTACGGTAACGAGTCAGTAAACTCTCTCTCATCTTCTGAAAAAATACGTTACACGTTGAGAGAATCGATGTTTCGATCGGGAATTTAATTAAAATGATACGTTGTTTGAAAATAATTCAAGACGAGTGAAATTTAATAATCGCCAAAAAAAAAAACAAATAACGATTTAATTATTTATTTTCGAGAAAAAAATTTTTCGTCACTTCAGAAACAAACTTTCAGTTCACTTTCTCAAATATCTATCAAAAAAATTGATTTTCTCTCTCTCGATAAATGTCCAAGCCTGGTTTCAATCTTTCCGATATCGCATTATTCTTATGCTATTTCTATTTTATCGGCCAAGTACAAGTATCAGGGAAATCGTATGAAAATCGATCGTCACGCCGATTTATCTTACACCTGCCAGAGCTCGTAAATCCGTAACGGCCACCTTCATAGTCGACAACGGTCGACCCACCAGTTTGTCATAAAGAGAACGATTTTTCTCGATGCGAAAAAACGCGGAAAACACGCGGGGCGATCGATGCAACTCGTGCAACACGTGCCGCCGCAACGGATTCCTTGATCTCGTTACGAGGCGAGCTCCATCCGCCTTCCAACTCTCCTGGATTCCTCGAACTCTCGTGATCAAGGCGTTATACGTTCCACGGCCGTTCGTTCAATGGACCGATTACTATCG